CTTTTAGGCTCCCAGTCTGTTTTCCATAAGCTCTCTGGGAATCAGTGGGGACTGTTTGTAGAGCAGAATGCTGCTCAATACGACTTTCTGCCGAGATTGGCAAGATCAGGCTCTTTCTACTTACTTGTAAGCAAAGCAATTAAAAGCAATTCCAGAGTAAGCTGCCAGTGTTCCTCTCGAGAGTGGAGGAAAAGAGGAGGGAGGGAAAGAAGCAACATGATTTCTCTCTCAAGGATGAACATTACTGTGTCTGTGTCACTGACCCGTGGTGTATTGGCAGGTGATAACTAGAAAAAAGAACTGGGCAAATTTCCAATGAGTAGCTGTAGTTGGTAGTAAAACTGCAATCTGGCTGCTGTGGCTGAAATAAACGGTCATTAGGCCTGATTAAAGTCAGATTTAGGGCGATTCAAGCAAGCTAAAAGGGGGAAACCACAGGCAGTTTCACATAGTTTATTATATACTTGTGGAGTTATTTATATGGCTCAGTCTAGTACAGTGAAAATGAGTGTGTTTAGAGATTGTAGTTGGCTTTGGGACAATGCAGGTGATTTTTGATGGAAGATTTTGGCCAGGTTGTAACAGTGTGTTTTGGTTGACCAGAGCAAACTTGTAAAAAATACTAGAAATCCGTTCAAAATATCCCAAAACCAAACTTTTAAGGATTGCCCAGATTCAGCATAGTGAGATATTGAAGCTTTAGCTTCAAAATGTTTATAGGGCAGGAAGAATGTTTCCTAGCAGGATTTATTTATAGAACTGTGAGCAGGGTCTTGTATGTTACTCTGGAGTAAATCTGTTGTAAGTGACATCAAGACCAGGCTTAACTGTATTGGTTTTTTTTTTTGCTCCAATCCTCACAAAACCAGTAGATGGAGAAAAGGATTCTTTTTCTGTTGTGATACCAGTAGGAGTGTCAGGCATTCCTCTGATCTGTTCCCTGCCATTATTACCTTGATAGACTTTATGCACTCTGTGTCAAGTTACGTGTATGTACGCAAAAGTGTAAATTTATAGCTGCATTTATAGTATTAGGCAAGTATTTATTGGTTTTAAACACCATTAGTCTGGAAATCGACCAGAACTTTGACCTTTTTATGATGTGATTTACTGCTGTGAGCCTTCAAATTCCACGGACTCCATTTAAGCACAGTTTCAGGTCTTGGCAGGACAAAAACCTGAGCTGGAGCTGTCTTTAAACCAGTGGAATATTGCTTAATTGAACAAGTAACTGCACTGTAGTGACCAAGAAGATCATTTAAGGGTGTAGGGAAAGCCTGGCTCTCCTGCAGGCTGGGGCTAATGTCATTGCCAGGCCACATCTCAATGGAGGAGCCTTCAGGAATCCTTCTAGTTCATGTGAGAGGAGTGCATTTCTTCACAACTCATACAAATAAGGGCTAAGAGGTCAGCTCCCTAATTTGTCGCTATGTAAACAAGAGATTCCAGGGACATTTGCCTTTGCCGTGCAAACGGGGAAGGTGACTGCCTTGCTCTGCTCCAGATAAAGAGAGTTGTGGAGAGAAATGTGGTTTCCTTGGACCAGTGCTTGGTCAGTGCTGCAGTAAGTTTCTGCTCAGTTCTCACTGTAATCGTAGAATGGGCTTAAGATCATCCAGTTCCAACCCCCTGCCACAGGCAGGGACACCTCACACTAGAGCAGGTTGCTCCAAGCCCCTGTGCACAACCTGGC